TATAAAGCCCTAGTAGGACCACACCTGGAATACTGCAGCCAATTTTGGTCACCATATCACAAAAAAGATGTTGAGAGTTTGGAAAAAATTCAGAGAAGAGCAACTAAGATATCAAAGTCTAGAGACTAAAACATATGAAGAAGGGCTGCAGGACTTGGGTTTGGCTAGTCTAAAGAAAAGAAGAAATAGGGGAGACATGATAGCAGTATTCCAATACTTGAGGGGCTGCCACAAAGAAGAGGGGGTCACGTTATTCATCAAAGCGCCAAAGGGCAGGACAAGAAACAATGGTTGGAAACTGGTCAAAGAGAGAAGCAACCTGGAATTAAGAAGAAACTTCCTGACAGTGAGGACAATTAACCAGTGGAATAGCTTGCCCCCAGAAATCGTGGGCGCTCCATCACTGGAGATTTTTAAGAAGAAGCTAGACACAGTCACTTATCTGAGATAGTATAGGTTCTAGGGGGCTGGACTAGAAGACCTCCAAGGTGCTATGCTATGCTATGCTATGCTATTCAAGCTATTTTGGAGCGGCAACCCTTACTTTGCCTGCATAACTAAACAAAATCATCCTGAATTGCACTGAAGGACAAGGTATTCTCCTGAGGGACAACTGGTGTATCTAATGAATAATTTGATGGTTATAAGTGTTAGAGATGTTGGCTTCAACATGCATTGGGTTGGATTCTGTCCTTAATGTGTTGCTAGCTTACCCTTCCTTGCCCAAAGTTTCAAAATCTGGCTTTAGATTATTCTGGCTTGTGGTTATGCATTGGATTTTTTTTATCCTTTTACTCAGAGGTATTAACCAGCCTCTGGCTAAGCTTTTGTTTGTGTGTGTGCCTTTGAGTCAGTTTTTAACTCCTGATGACGGGACAAATCTGCTGTTTTCTTGTCAAAATTTTAGAAGTGATTTCCCCTTGTCTCCTTCCTGCCGAATTGATGCACCCATCCACTCATCACACTAACACTCACATTCTTCCTCCTATCTAATTATGGGAGGATTATAAAAAGTGACACTCTTCTCACCTTCCCCGTTCCCATGCTAATGCTGTGGTCACTCTGGGCTGTGAAATGAAATGCTTTCTCCATTTAAGAATCAGTTTCAGACAAGCAGCTGTTTAGTGCAGCTGTGGCAGGGGCCTGATCCTGCTGATAAGTGGTAGCAGGGCTTATGATTAGGCTTCAAAAGCAGCAGGGGCTATATTTGGTAGAAGTTGTAATGCAGAAGGCTCCAGATGGTCTGCAAATTGCTCATAAGAACAGCAGAACACTCCCGGATGAACGTACAGTTGATTCTCTGTCCCTGAAGCAGTAGCTTAATTTGCAACACAAATTTTGGAATAAAAATGGAGGAATAGGTGAAATTCCCCACCCCCACCTGCTTGAAAAAGATCTTCAAAGGAACAAGGGTTCACAAATGGACTTCTGTATTTGTAATTACCAAAACCAGTTTGGTAAAAAGTTGCCGATCTAGAAGCTGGGAGATTACAAATTCCAATCCTTCCTTAGGCACAGAAGCCAGTTGGGTGACTTTGGGCCAGTCATTCTCAGCCCTGTATTAAATTATTGTTTTAAAAGAAACACTTTAGGAAACACACCAGCTTTTCACCCAGCCTGACAAAGAAGTGCTCTTGTCCTATTTAATTTTATGTAAGGTCTTACAACACAGGAAAGCTTTTCCAGAAGGAAGAGATAAGACCAAAAGGAAAAAAAATAGCCATCACTGACGTTCAAAGGCAACAAGCAATAAGCATGTCTTTGATGGGAAAGTTGGAGTTTGAAAAGACAGTGTAACCTCTGTTTGACCCCATTTCTTCTTTGCTTTGACAGCTTTTCATAAGGATGGAAAGGTTGATAACCTCCAGAGGGAATACCATTCCAGAAAGGGGAAGCCATCACAGAAGAACCCCCACTTCCAAATCCAAATATCTTCAAGAACTATCAGTCTTTTGCCTCGGAATGGGAATGCTGAATGGGTTTGTTCTAATTGGAGGAAGCATGCCAGCAAGTTCTTAGGATTAAATTATGTAGAGCTTTAAAGATGAACAGAGCACTTTGAATGATACCCAGCAATCTAAGGGAATCCAATGCTTTAGGTGTCACACAGCTCTAATGGCTATCACCTAACAGCAATAGGAGTGGGTGAGTGTAGAATGGTATGCAATGTCAATGCTGCTAACATTGGTGTTTATGAGTAGTTTTCAAAGGAAGCCACATATAGAACACATTGCAGTAGTATAGCCTAGTCTGGATGAAGATACCATTTTATGCAATCCAGCTGATTACAGATATCAGCTTAATATCAGACAGGCCTACATATTTAATTTAATTGCAATATAGGCCACAATTTTGCAATGCCTCCAATTAGAGTTAGATCTGAATAACAGCCAGATGTTAAAATGACAAAAAAATATTGGCAAATATCCATTGTTTGTTTGTTTGATCCCCAAAGATTTACACATTGGTTAATCACCACATTACCCAGCAAAAGCTAATCTGGCACTTCTTTTTTCTAAATTCCATCTTAAGACTGAGTCTAAAATTCCATTGTCTTTGGCCTCAGTGGTTTGTATCTCTGCTTCTTTAATTTGTTTGCTTTGTTATCTGATGAATGTGAAGAATTTTCATGCTTGCAAACTGTTTTATGTTACTCTTTAGATTCTCTTCTTATGTCATATTTTTTGCTCATGTTGTTCTATTATTTTGTTTGTGCTGCTGTTGTTTGAGTGACATTAAAATTCAATACGTGGCTGCTACCGATAAGATCTCTGTATAAATGTAAATAAAACAGAGCTCTCTACCTTGCAGACAAGATGACATGCACCAGGGAAATTGAAAAAAAGATGAGGTGGGAAAAAATAGATCCAGAACAAAAGATTGTATTGTTAACAAAGCACTTATACATAAAGCTGGAGAAGGAGAAATAGTCCAATAGTGTATTGCCTGAGACAGAAAGCAATGCTGGCCATGGGTTATGAGAACTGCAATCCATCACATCTGTTGGGTAGCCAGTGGTAGCCAGTGGGTACCCAGTGGTGGGATTCAAATATGTGTGGATGCTGCTTCCAGAAGTCCATTCTGGACTTGGGCAACAAGACAAGACTTGGGCAACAAGACATGCTGGCTGAGGAATTCTGAGAGTTGAAGTCCACAAGTCATAAAGGCCAAGTTTGAAGACCCCTGCCCTATTGGAAGAGACTGGTATATAGAATTCAAATAATCCCAATAACGAGAGGTCCTTGATGCTCTCTAAGCTTGCTTGTTTTCTTGCAAATTTTTCATTACCCTAATTAGGTAACATCATCAGTGCTAGTAAGGAGTGCTGTTTACTGTCAGTTTATATTCTGGTGTCTTGTCTGTCTTAGGGATTGTTTGGTTAGACTGTTTACTAATGGCTCTTTGGCAATCCCAATAATTTTGTTAACAAACACTCAAGATTAGGGCCAGACCTTGAAAGGAGAGAGGCATGCTGGCTCTTCTCTTGTTGGGTGTTCTCACTGGAAGGTGTTAGTTCACAGTGAATGAACAAGCACAATAAAACCTACATGGTGGGGGCCAGGGTACTTTGCAGTACTGCCTTTCTCCTGTCTTTTTAGCTTGCTCCACCAGATCTAGAAGACAAGACATGCTCTTGATCCCTTCTAACACAATGTCATCTTGTTGCACTTTTTGGTTGCATCTTCTCAGTGGCAGTACACTACCTGTTCTAGGGAACAGCATCATCCTGGAGATTCAGAGGCATTAAAGACTTGGCTGTTTCCACAGATGTTTGGGTCAGGAGGCTTGATGAGCTCTGCTCTTATTGAGTAGCTATGCTGTGGTGTATTTTTTTTCCATTTTGTTTTTGTTTTTGATGAGTGGGGCTTTTCCTTATCCTTGGATACCTGGGGTTATTTATCATGGTTTTGTGTTTCTGACCCTTGCACACTACCCAGAATCTACCTGAGATGCCGGCCTATTAAAACTGTATAAATAAGGAATGTACTTTATGGGATTGGCAACAAGTCACAGTGGGGGTGGCCTGAAAGGAGTCAACGATGCCTCTAGGGCACAAAGCAGTGGGCCTATGATTTTACGAATAAAAGGAGATGAATATGGCCATAACATTTAAAAAGGACTCTAAAGCAGGGGTAGGCAACCTTGGCTCTTTTATGACTGGTGGACTTCAACTCCCAGAATTCCTGAGCCAGCATGGCTCAGCTTGGAAACCTCTCCCTTTCCCCTCAGCATGGCTGGCTCAGGAATTCTGGGAGTTGAAGTCCATGAGTCATAAAAGAGCCAAGGTTGCCTACCCCTGCTCTAAAGGAATCAGTTCTGTAAGCAAGGAAGAGAAAGGGGGAGATATATACTGAACGGGAGCAAAAGGTAGTCTAGAAGCAACAGGGATCTCTCTTGGTCTCTGATGAGCAAAGCTTTTCATGTGCTAGAGAAATCTAATAGTCCCCAGGGCTGGGCTGCCAATTGCTCCCTAGGCAGCTGTTAGCAAACACAGGAAAACGGTATCTCTCAGCGCATCTCATTTCATCATCTCTCCCTGCATCACTGCCTCCGCCCCTCCTGTTCCCTCTGCAAAATGCTGGACCTCGACTTTCTCCTGCATCCTGGCTCTATCTTTTGCACTGTGATTCTGCAAAATCAGGCCCAGAAAAAAAACATCTTTTTTTAAAAAAGGAAAAAAAAAGTAACCTTCTTTTCTCTCTATTTCTTCCTTGGCTGAGCCTGCTCTCCTCAGCATCATTCCCCCCCCCCCCGTTTAAAAGCTGAGCAATGGTATCGCCCCAGCTCCATCAGAAGGGAGATGCGCTTTAGATGTTGCTGGAAGGCAGGAGCATCCTCATAGGCTGCGGCAGAGGCAGAAGCGTCGCCCGGCACGGGAAAGCAAATCCTAGCTCAGCAGACTGCTGAAAAAGGAGGCTGAAGCAGCTCGCCTCGTTCCCTCCTGTCTGAAAAGGGGTATTATCCTGAGCCGAGCGTGGAGCGTCACTTAACAGGAAAAGATGACGCAGGGGAAGGTAAGGTTCAAGCTGGAGCAGGAGCTCACGGGCTTCATTCACGTTGCTGAATGACCTCTATATTCGATTTATCCATTTCCCATCTCTCAAGGGCTGCTTTAAGCCATCTGCTTGCTTCTCTGGATGCTCAGCATATAGAGCAGAGATGGAAAAGAGCTGCTTCTTATTCAAGTAATATAGGGCTGATTGCCCTGCCTCCCTGCACTCCCACCAAGATTAAGTTTCTTAACAGCCCTAGAAAAGTTACCCTAATCTTGACTACTCTTAAACCACAAATCATCTTTATTTCCCCAAGCAAGGAAAGGAGGGGAGTGAGTGAGTTCTGAATCCATAAGACAGGCAGTTTCTCCATGCTTGCTTTGGTTTCTCTCTAATGCTGAGAAATCTGTTGCCATGGCAACTTAGCCATAGCATCTAATTGAATGTCTGTTGAATTTTAGCCCTTGATAGGTTTCAGGACTCTTGGATGGCAAATTACAATAGAAATGTTGTGTTTTATAATGGTCTAAATCCTGTTGGTTGTAGTTTATGATATGCGCTCCTTTATCTGGAGTTCTAGCTTTGTTACTTGTAGTGCCCCAAGGACCAGCATCAGGTCCTAAATCCATAACCTGTAATTCAGGAAGAGGCTTACATCTTCACTTAGAGAGCTGCAGATCATGAGTGCAGCAGCAAATGTCCATTTTTGGATTGACACACTGGATTCTTTCTTTTCTTTTTTTTTTAAATTGTTTTTAATCCTCATATATCAGTTTGCAAATGTTCAATTTAATATATCCTTTTCTTCTTTTAAAACTAAGTAATTCAAATAATGAATTTACCAATTCCATAATTCAGTATACTTAGCATTATAATGTGCAGAAAAGGAATTATGTAGCTCTGGCTTGGGCAACAGAATATGGCTGGGGTTGTTGAAATTTTGAATTCAAATTGCAATTCTCTGGCTACTCAGTGGCATGTGTGAAATGATAGTGTGTTCACTGAAGAACAGCAGGTCATTTTGATTGGGGAACTTTTTGGCAACAATCTCTATTCATTGTTCTCCTCAATCCCAACCTTTCAAGTCTCCTTTTAGACACTCGAGGCCCTCCAGATGTTATGGAACTACAATCCCCAAAGGTCTGCTGACTGGGAATTTTGATTATTGTAATCCTGGTGAGCACCAGGGTATTTGTGCGTGTCCAAGAACTTGTTCCTTTGAATTAGGTCACCCCTGTCTCAGCAGCACCACAATGACGCAGTTCTGGGCTATTCTCTTGTTGCGTTTCTGATATTGAATAATCTACCAATTGCCTCAGCTTGTTCAGCTGCAATGTGTTCAGTTGGCACAATCTGTACAGAATTTGTCATTTCACGGCTGCAAGTGGCTACAGGGAGGCTTTGTTTAATCTTATTTTTTTCGGTCTTTATGCGGCTGCTACGTGATGGACAGTAGTGACTTAACCCAGACAGCTTTAGGCAGACTAACTAGGATTGAAGTCTGATTGAGGTCAATAGGATCATTAATTTGAATCAGTTGTTTAAAGTAGAGTTATCACGGAGTACTATCTATATTTTGATAAATATATGGGGGGGGATGTGACTTTCCTATCCAAGGATCTTTTTTGAACTGGCTGAAGAATCAGGTAATTTGTGTGCTTCCCCCTAAGTCAGTGTTTCTCAACCTTGACAATTTTAAGGCACGTAGACTTCAACTCCCAGCAATGCTGGCTGTGGAATTCTGGGAGTTGAAGTCCACTTGCCTTAAAATTGTCAAGGTTGAGAAACACTGACCTAGGTTTTGTTCAGCTGCAACCCCCAACATCCTTAGCTAAATTGGGAATTATTCAATTACATGCAGAGAGCCATTGTTTCCCTTTTGCAGGCCAAACTAAGACACATTCTGACATTCTCTTGGTTTCTGTTGGCTTTCTGAAAGGAGGAATAGAAGAAAATACTCTTATGGCTTTTATGGCAACAGAAAAATGGATTTTATCCAATCTGTTCAGCTTTTTAGGTCTCTCATAGAATACTAAGAGCAATCTAGGAAATTTAAATACGAACACTTTCACAAATTAAATGAAAAATGTCAACAGTATTCTATATTAATATAATAGTAGAATAGATACTTGGGAAGCGTATTTAGTCACAAAATAGCTGCCTTTGGAAATATATACACCTGCAAAGCTGCCATTTTCTAGAATATCAGACACCCTTTCTTTTATTATTTTCTTTGCTTGAAGACATTCTTTCAAAGAAAGCCCTGGATTGTTGTTTCCCATCGTATTGTTTCATAAAACAGTGTCTATACAGTTGAGAGGTGTTTTTTTTTTTGGTGGGAGGGAATTAAGTTCTCGGAGGCTGACATTTTTCTTTGAAGTATGGCAGATTCATCATCACTGATAGATAAGCCAATTGTGAAAATTAAAATATAAAATTTTTGAGGGTCAGTTTATCCATGACGGGTATGTTTCAAATGGTATTTCAGTTTAAAAAATCCAGAGATGTCTTATCTAGAGGATGGGCTTATCCATGAGTATATGTGGTAAATTTCAATATAATTTTAGACAGTACCCATGGACACTGATAATTGGGACATTATTTAGAGACTCGTGTCTACCAGGTTCTGCCTTCCTTTAATAAAATCTTCAGGAGCTCCTTGAAGAAAGCCTATCTAACAAATAAAATAAATTGCAAGTTTCATGATTCATGTGCCTCCATTCAGCTGCTGTTGGCTAACAAAGAGGCCTTTGAAATAATTGACAAGCAACCTTATGAAAAAAAATTGTTTCCAGGAAGTACAGTGTAGCAGTAAGAATATGTTTGTTTGGTTTCAGTCAGTAACCGTTCATGATGATTTGCGGTCAGCAGTAGGTGAAATAATATATTTACTTGGAAGGAAATCACGTTTTTTTAAATAAATAAATTATCTTTAAATTATCTGAGAGATGAAAACAAGGTTGTTACTTCAATTTAATCTTCTCCTTTGGAGGTATCTTGAATTTAGGCTTGTTTTCTTTTCTGGTAAATGTAATAGCTCTTCCTGTCTGAAGCTAAAATTACTAAAGTCCATTTCAGACTTGGAAGGCCCATTGCTTGAGAACCAGACATATGGTAGCTGCTGTACATAGTGAACCATTCTGTTCATTACTACCCCAGTTGATTTGAAGTGTTTTTAATACACCAGAGGATTTTTTTTAAAAAAAAAATAACCAAGCAAAATAAAACAAAAATGGAGATCAATGGGAGAGAGAGAACCTAGAACAGTGGTTCTCAACCTGTGGGTCGGGACCTCATTTGGGGTCGAACAACCATTTCACGGGGGTCGCCAAACAACGCAGTCCGCCATTTTTTCCCCTTTTCCTTAGCTGTGCTACTCCCTTTTATTCTATTGGCTTTTGAAAGCCAATAGAATAGACTCTCTTGAATAGAGTCTAATTCTATTGGCTTTCAAAAGCCAATAGGAATTGTCCAGGCTGTCTCTGCCCTGCTGAGCCCGCCAAAAGTCCCATTCTGCAAACGGTGCTGCACCAGTTGAGTAGTCCTCGACTTACGACCGGTTGAGTAGTCCTCGACTTACGACCGGTTGGGGGTCGCAGCATTAAAAAGGTTGAGAACCACTGACCTAGAACTTATCACGCAGGAGATGTTTCTCAAGTGTTTCAGTTCCAGAAGCAATATGCCTGAGTAGTTCTAAGCCAGGAAAGCAGGAGCATCACTGAACACCTAATAATGTGCCTGTGTCTTGTCTTGAGAATAGGGTGAATACCTAATCTTAATGCTCATTGTGAATTCTGCAGGAATGCCTGATGCAATATAGATAAATTAGTATAACATTGCACTGGATGTTCTTGCGGAATTCATTCCAGGCATTAAGGCTACCCCATTCCCAAGACAAGACACAGGCTCATTATTGTAAATCTTCATGTAAGATGTATGCAAATATGATCAATCAATCTACTGACTATTCTCAATGGGCAGGGAAAAATCAGAGAAAGTCAGAAAAAACAGTGTGAAAGGCTTCTGCTCATGCGCCCCCTCCCGTGCATTTATTCCAGGCTGGGAGGTTTGTGGAGAACTCACCCACACCTATCTCAAACCCCGGACCTCATCTACATTTGATTCTCTTCTCCATCTCTCCCCGTGTAAAATTTACAAGAAAGATGGTCATTTTTTTCAAAATAATAATAATAATAATAATAATAATAATAATAATAGTAGTAGTAGTAGTAGTACCAATAGTGATAGGCTCCTTGGGTACAATCCCAAAACAACTGGAGCGCCACTTGAACACCATTGGCATTGACAAATTCACTATTAATCAATTGCAAAAGGCGGCCTTACTAGGAACTGCTTCCATCCTGCGATGATATCTGTAATACCATCAAACATCCACATCTGCCTATCCCAGGTCCTGGGTAAGGACTCGATAGGTAGACAAAATGCCAAATCCAGTCTGAACATCTGGCTGACTGTACGATGATCCATAATAATAATAATCTATTTTTTTCCTTTCCATTTTGCAGCTCTCTGTGAATAACAAGCCTGCAAATTCTGAAGGGCAGCAGGAAAATGCTGAACGAAAGCACCCCAGTGCCCCAGCAGTACCACCAACCTATGAAGAGGCAACCTCAGCAGAAGGGATGAAAGCAGGGGCCTTTCCCTCCCCTCTGAATGTTCCTCTCCATCCCACTTGGGCATACGTGGATCCCAGTGAGTTGCCCATTTTTAAAAAAAATAAAAAAAACCTCGGTTTTGAAATTTGGTGACTTCTCGTCCCATGTCAGTCTGCTGGATTTGTGGATGATCTGAAATTCAGGTCAGAAAGTTTTTCTCTGCCTCAGAAATCACACCCCATAACCTTTTGCTTGCAGGAGAACCGAATATTTTTTCCTCTGCATGAAAACAGAAGCAATGTGGAATGGAAGTGGTAACATCAGGAGTATCCAAAGGGGAAGTCATATGATTGAAGCCTTGTGGATATGTTTATACCTTTACAAAAGGGATATGGCCTCAGTTATGAGGTCATAATTGACATTGTGACTATTCCAAAATAGTCCCCTCCACAATCTCCATTCTCTCTCCCTTGCTTAAGGTACCAGACTGGAAATAAGCTCGTTAGGGCTGTGGGCCTGGTCACTAGCGCTATGTACAAGCTTCAAAGATGATTAATTGGAAAAAGTGTTTTGAACTCATTCAAACTCAATCCCTCTCTGAGGTTCATTAAAACAGCCTGCCTTTTTCTGGGCTTCTGAGTGTGATCTCAGAAATAGAAAATTACAGTCTCGGAAGCATCCTGCAATCTACCAATAAGATTTTTTTAGTAAGAGTGATCTCAAGACAGCGAAAAAGGGGGCATGTTTGAACATGAATGGTGGTAGACAAACTGGGGATTTGAGTCCCAAATAGAGGAGGCCCTGAGTTCCACCTTGTCCCACACCTTGCTTCATGCTTCACAGGCCCTTAGTAGAATCTGCAGTGGAAGAAAAAGAGGAAGGAGTGAAAACGGTGCCCCCATTTTCTCTGCTGCCACTATAAGCTATCACCTGAGCAGCAACAACAGCAGCACTTCGCTTTCTCCCTCTTCTCCTTAGATGGATCACTTGGAAACTGCACAAGGAGCGGCTGGATCATTTGGTGGAAGCAAAGAACTCCGAAACCCCAGCAGCTTCCTTGATGCTCAGTTGTTTCTCTCTCCTGCTTCTGGTTTGAGAAGGAACTAATGTAGAAAGACATCTAGGTGGTCAAGTGGGGGTGCTCTTCTAAAGAAGGGAGGCACGTATGATGGATACACGTGCAGCTGCATTCTGAATAGAAGTGGGGGGGGGGGGGAGAAATTCCCCTGAATCAAACAGTGAAGCAGAGGAGAGAATGGACACTGTGGTGATCAAGGAGGTGATGGAAGACCTTGCAAGGGAAGAAGTGACTGTAGATAGGGGCTTCTTCCTCTTTATCCCTAATCACTGTAGCTTTGAGAGAGATCCTAAGGGTTTCTACCAGCTTCTTCCAAATCATTGCCAAGATGTGAATGTGGATATCTAGTCTTACTTGTGGGTTCCCATCTGAGATGGCCTATATATAGAACAGCAAATCACACCTTTTGTTCAAGCCAGAAGAGTTTCATGCAGTTGGAATACCAGAAACAGTCATGCTGAAGCATTTCTGAACAAATCATCTTATTGTCCTGCTTTTTTTTAAAGTTCATTAAATACTGAATAAGACAAAAAAACTGTGCAAGAACTTCAATAACTTTCCATGGTGCTATATGATATTGCTTTATTCCAGGTCTTTCTTCCTTCCTTCCTTCCTTCCTTCCTTCCTTCCTTCCTTCCTTCCTTCCTTCCTTCCTTCCTTCCTTCCTTCCTTCCTTCCTCCCTCCCTCCCTCCCTCCCTTCCTTCCTTCTTTCCTTTCTATATTGAATCAGTACATTTATAGTGGAAAACCAGTGTCCAAATGCTTGTTTTTATTTTATCAGTATTGCATATATTGTACCAGAAGTACTTAACCAGACTCCAAAAGCAGTAAATGCAGATTGTGGATGGATGCAGACCTAGCATTTTCAGTCCCTTAACCTTAGTTAAGGAACAGTGAGCATCCAATATATTTGTGTCCCTTCATATATTTTTTTTTCTCATGCGTTAAAGTCTGCTACAACTTAGCCATTTTTATAGAACACAACTCTGCAACAGAAACAATGGTTAGCATAATATTGTAAATAAGATTAAGTACCCCTGCCAATATGTTACGATAAGATCTGAAAGGGATATCTGTGTACAGAGACACACTCCCCATCTTCTAACTATAGTTAGAAAACTGGTTAGCCTTGGTGGCATAGTACATTAGCCAGTATGGTTAGTTTCTTTTGGGATGAACACAATTTACTAACCTTATTATGGCCTGCCGTTATGTTTGAATCCAGCCTTTGTGGTTGCTTAATAAAAAAAAAAAGTAGCTTAGTTATGAATGTTGCCGTGCCAGTGACTATTATTTGGCTCGTAGAAAACTGTTTGTTTTTTAAAGATGGAAGGTGGCTCATTAGGAAAAGAAGATCAGGGAGTGAATAGGGCAGTGAGAACATACCAAGAAAATGTGTGTGTGTGTGTGTGCGTGTGTGTGTGTGTTTGTTTGTGTGTGTGTGTGTGTGTGTGTGTGTGTGTGTGTGTGCTGGAAGATACCAGAAAGATTGGGGAAGGGTACATCTAAGGCATGCTTTGCTTCTTTTAGATAACATCTTTGATACATGACTGACTAGGGGCCAGGGGTAGGCAACCTTGGCTCTTTTATGACTCGTGGACTCCAACTCCCAGAATTCCTGAGCCAGCCATGCTGAGGGGAAAGGGAGAGGTTTCCAAGCTGAGCCATGCTGGCTCAGGAATTCTGGGAGTTGGAGTCCACGAGTCATAAAAGAGCCAAGGTTGCCTACTCCTGGCCTAGGCAAGAGAAATTGAGCCCCAGGAAATCATGGCAACAGTGAATGGGAGACCCCGTTAGTCTCCTGAAGATTCCAGTCCTGTGTCATCACAATGCAGTGATTTGGAGGACAGGACAACTTTGCAGCAAAACTTTTCTCCCATTGCTCTTCATTTATTTATTTTTTACCACTAGAGCCTTCCAATGCCTGTGGATACGTTTTTTCTGCGTAAAACCAACACAAAGCTGGAATCCCTACAGAAACACAGTAAATGCATCTGATCAATTAATTCTTAGCTTAGCTATTACTGTACAAATGGGCATTTGGAAAGTGGATTTCAGGTAATGCCAAAATGGAGCTATTGCTCCAAAGGCCAAAATTATTGATCATTACCTCAATGGCAAGTTGTGATGCTTGATTCTTTTTGTTCTTTATGGGAGTGATTTAATTGAATCAGTAACTGTTTTATAGGATATTGATCTTGAAATCTTATGGTAGCACAAGATTTTAGTAGAATTTACTGGCAAACCTAGGGTTGTCATTACATTTTATGCAATAACATAGATAAATCAGAATTATTTCCCCCATATCCTATTGCTTCCCTGTGTAGTAATGGTTATATAAAATGTGCCATAACATTTGGGAGGAATATTCAACTTGGAGATTTGATTACAATGGGTAGCCCGGAATATGTGTCTGAGATTCCTACCTTGAGGGTTGTCTTTCATATTTTTATTAATATCCATACTGTTTAGAGCAGTGGTTCTCAACCTTTTTAATGCCGCGACCCCCAACCGGTCGTAAGTCGAGGGCTACTCAACCAATCGTAAGTCGAGGACTACTCAACTGGTGCAGCACTGTTTGCAAAATGAGACTTTTGGCGGGCTCAGTAGGGCAGAGATAGCCTGGGCAATTCCTATTGGCTTTTGAAAGCCAATAGAATTAGACTCTATTCAAGAGAGTCTATTCTATTGGCTTTCAAAAGCCAATAGAATAAAAGGGAGTAGCACAGCTAAGGAAAAGGGGGAAAAATGGTGGACTGCGTTGTTTGGCGACCCCCGTGAAATGGTCGTTCGACCCCAAATGGGGTCCAGACCCACAGGTTGAGAACCCCTGGTTTAGAGGATAAGTATAAGTGTCCATAGCATTGATTTGGTCATTAATGCAACATATAGAGCAGGAAATGAGAAAACGTTTACATTTGCTTAAAGAGTCTCTATCAGAAAATGTAATTCCCAATGTCTTCCTGATACCTGTAATTCCCAAAGCCTGATACCAGAAGAGAAAGAGAATGTCAGTTCTATAGTCTAAAGATGAATTTTAATGATGAGTATTGTTGGAGCAGCAGTCCCCAGCCTTTTTGGTATCAGGGACCAGTTTAATGGAAGACAACTTTTCCACAAACTGAGGGAGGGCAGGAGAAGCGCACAATCTACATCTCTTGCATGTGCAGTTTATAGGAGGGCTTGATCTCCTATGATAATCTGATGCCTGATGATCTGAGATGGAGCTGAGCTGGTGATTCTATTGCTGGGGAACAGCTGCAAATATAGATGGCTTGTTCGCCCGTGTGCACCCCCCAGCTGTATGGACCAGTTCCTAATAGGCCTAGGACCGGTATCAGTCTGTGGCCTGGGGGTTGGGGACCCCTGTGTTGGAGCATAGATAGATTAGGTCTATGGTTTAAGATAAGATGGAGCCACACCCCTACTAAAGAATCAATGTTTGGTTTATTCCTGCCCTCAGATGAAATATTGTTCATGCATGCTTAGGTTAAGCTATAACATGGAATATTTTTCCTCGTTTCATCTGGTGTACCTACCTGATCCTTTCCTGGGGCAAGCGCAACATGTCTTCATTACAACAGGTGAAATGATCCAGCATCCAAGGAGGCTTTGGCAACTTTAGTTGTGCAAAATGTGGCATTATGGATATTGATTGAGCCATCTGCAAAGTAGTAATATTTTACTGGCTGCCATTATTTGGTTGGTCTATTTCCAAGCTTAAGTTCAAAGTCCTGCTACTGAATTTTAAGCCCCAAAACATTTTTGAGTATCAAGTATCGTAAGAATAATTTCCCACACTATAAAGCCAAATACGCACACTGTGTAATTCTGCTTTATTTCCTATTGTTGGTTGAGATATAGGAACATTAAATGGAGCCTTTTTGGTGATGTAATCAGGTTGGAGAACTCAGGGAGCCTAACTAAACTGAATTCCCCCCCTTGCATATTAGGACCATAATTCCCAGAATTCCAAACAAACCTAGTTAATGGTCATATAGGCTAAGAATTATGGGAA